TCTTCCAATGGGGCACACCCCGCAATGAACAACAATTATTGTGGGGACCTGTAAACAGGGAGCCTGGATGGGGGGGAACCTATTGCAACATCGTTGATGCGTCTTGGGTTTGCACTTGTCCTCCTCCTCCTCCTCCGCATCGTCATCATCCTTCTCCTCCCCCTTCTCCCCCTGAGCAAGCATCTTTCAAAGAGGAGCGGGCAAGGGACAAACGCTCTGCTGCACAGCTAGGACCCAGGGCCATCGGCACCGTCCAACTCCCAATTCAAATTCGGTGGCGAATCCGAGTCACCCAAAAAAGGCTTGGAGGACCTGATGCGTCCACTCACGAATTCTAAACGGCTCACTACGCAAGCCGACTCCAAGAACCTCTCGCTTCTATTCCCCCCGGTGAACCCGCGGCCGCTCAACTTCCACCGCCTCCCGCCGGGCTCCGCCCAAGGGGCGAGGAACGCCGCAGGCGAGGCCCTGTCTGGACGCTCCCAATCGGCTCGCTGGCTCCTGCCTAGTCTGAAGGCGAAGACCTTACAGTGCAGGTTTTCATAATACGATTTTTTAGTGTGAGTGTATATATACACACTATTTCTAACACATTATCAATTTACTAATGCATGCATGCATGAACTCATCGTTGTTTTTAACACTAAACCCCTGCATGTTTAATACATGATCCGCACGCGGAGCATGTATTGAAAAAGGCACTCTTGCATTCTCGGGAGACCTTGTCTGTCCCGTCGCGGCCCTATCCGCGCTGAGTCCGCGTCGAGTCCACGTCGGCCTCGTCGGCTGCCGAATCCTCCCCTTCCCCCTCCGCACCGGCAGCAGCGCGAGGAACGTCGCCGGGTTCGGCTGCCGCAGGCCGTGCTGGGAGGACACGCTCCTGGGGTGGACCGTCGTCGCGGCCAGCGCCAGGGAATTGGAGGTGGAGGAGGAAAAGGAGGAGGAAAGGAGGAACAATATTAAGAAGAGGAAGAGGAACAGGAGCAGGATAGGCGGGATGGGTAGGACGGGGAATACAAAATGCTAGAGTGTTGCTGTCGTTCGGAGGCTCGAACCACAATTCGGAGGAGGGAGATAAAAAAGGAACACAAGACATATCTAAAGAAGCATCGGCGTCGGCATGAGCTGGAACAGACGAACAGCGAGGAGGACGACAAGACAAGCAAGAAGGAGGCACATCCAACAAAAACCACATGAAACCGTCGGGAAGCCCATGCGGTGCTCCGCTTCTTTCTACAACGACTTAATTTGAATAGCAGCCCCCATTCTCCCCTGACTCTGTCCAGAAGGTGTCTCTCCCTCTACGAGCACAGGTTCTTACAAAGATCCGCCACCGTGCCCCTGAGGCGCGAACTGGAGTGTTCCCAGGTCCCTTGATTAACCCCTGAGCCTAAGTCCTGATCCCTGGGGATTCTCTGGGGCTGGGAACCGACAGTCGTCCTTCTTGCCGAAGAACTGTCGGTCCTTGCGAGCAGCGCGACAGAGATCCTTATTCTCCCTCCGGGTCCGTTTCTTGACAATGCTTTTTCGGCCCGCGAAGCATGACTCGATCTGAGCTTCGTTCAAGTCCAGCTCGTCAGTCGGGCGTTGGCTGACCCGATATTGGAACCAGGTTTAGTGATGTGTACTACGGGGCGCCCCCCCCGCCCTGTTCCACTAACCGGAGCTGCCGTCACCCGAAAAAAAAACACCATCTACGGCAGACCTGGTTCAGTGATTCTGACCACTAACCGGGTCCCCTTAACTGGGGTCCTGGCTGTACCCGACCCAGTCTCAGCCAGCAGGGCTGCCTGGGTGTCCGAAAAGAACAAACTCATAGTCGTCATAATCGTCGTCGTCCTCGCTCGCCGCGACCTCCCGTGAAGGGCCTTTCTTGCCTCCTCTGTTCCCAGGGCCGACCACTTCGGGCCAGACCTCTGAGGCATCAGGCATGGCAGCGTGGTTTCCTATACTGAAGGGGCCCAGGGACGCACACATAAATGGACACAAATAGCGGGATTCTCCACATTCCCGACCTAGGCTCTGCCTAAAAGGGTTCTTAGTCGGTAAGCTTACAAAGGGCCGGGCAGTGGTCCTCGCCCCGGGCGGTTCCCGCGGCATCCGCCCCGCGGTTCCCCCGGCACCCCCCGCTTTGCCTAGCCTAACCTAGCTCAGCTTAGCTTAGCTTAGCTAGGCTTAGCTTGGCTTAGCTTAACTAGGCGTAGCTTAGCTTAGCTTGGCTTATTTTAGCTTAGCGTAGCTCCGCATAGCTTAGCTTACCTCAGCTTAGCGCAGCATTCGCACAGCATAGCATAGCATGGCCAAGCATAGCATAGCATAGTTCATCATACCATATCGTAGCATAACATATGGCCGCATTGCATATCATAGTTTAGCATAACCTTGTCGAGTATAGCGCAGCGCAGCATATCATAGCACATCACAGCATAGTATCGCACAGCGCTGCATAGCATAGCATCGCATATCGTAGCATAGCATCGCATATCATAACATAGCAACGCATAGCGCAGCACAGCATAGCGCAGCATATCACAACAACTCGGAACATAACGCAGCATATCATCGCATTGCATAGCATACCGGAGCATCGCTTAGGCTACCTTAGCTTAGCGCAGCGTAGCGCAGCATTAGCACAACAGAGCATAGCATAGCCAAGCATAGCATAGCATAGCATAGCCAAGTATAGCATAGCATAGCATAGCATGCAAAGCAACAACACAATCAATGCGAACAGGTAGATGTAGATGTAGCTGTAGGTGTAGGTGTAGATGTTGATGTAGGTGTTGGTGTAGATGTAAATGTAGATGTAGGTGTATATATATAGGTGTGGATGTAGATGTCGATGTGAGACTCGCTGTTGATGTAGATGTAGATGCAGGTGTAGGTGTTAATGTAGCTGTCGGTGTAGATGTAGATGTTGCTTTCCTGGATGCTCCAACTCCTAGGTAGGGTCGCACTGGGATAATTTTATAATCTTTTCTGGGTCTTCGTTTTCCCCAACACTTGCCATATTTTCCAATATTTTCCTGGGGGTCGACGGCTAATTTTGCCTGTGTGTGTTTTCCCCTTCTGGTGTACGAAAAAGGGAGAAAGCGCTCGGACCCAGTGAAGCCCATCTGCTGGAGCGCCCACGAGACCTGGGCAACATACAGACTGCCGCGAGCCAGGGTGCGCAGGTTCTGCGTAGCTTGAGCCGACAGCCCGGCGCCCCCCTTCTACAGACAAGCCCTTAGATCGATCACTCATTCAGAAATCGTGGCCCTCGGCCTCACGGAACCGATGCTCTCGCCGTGGCGCAACTTGGATCAACGTCACCTTTCCGTCACGATTGGCCCCGTACGCCGCTCTCCGGACTTCACCGAACGTCCCCTGATCACGAGGCCCATCTGAGTCAGGATCGCGTCGAACCATCCTGTTCCTGCCAGCGTCTCCTCGGGGATGTCTTCAAAGCGGACCTGTATGTCCCAGTCGAAAACCTCGAAGAACTTCTCGGTTCGACGATGCACCGCTACATCCGTTTTGGCATTTCAGCGCCTCATCGCTCTGCGCCACTGTCGGTAGTCGGTCCAGCCTGGCCACTCAGAAGGATCTGAAAAGTCGCCCCGCGTGGGTCTACCGCCGCTCCACCAGCCTACATCCTGTTTTCAGTCGTCCTGCTTCCAGTCCTTCCAGTCGGTCTCGTGGCGACCGTCCTTCTTCAGTCGTGCTCGCTCGAGTCGCTGATGCCCCAGCGCCATTGCTCGTCATACCAGCTGGCTCTACACTCCCCATCTTCTTGTCGTCGTCTAGCTGGAAAACGTAGGCTGGCGCGGGTGGCCGCCGCCCGGGAATCGCAAGGGTCATCTGACACCCCCCCCTCCAAAGTCCTAGCGAGGCTGGGAGTCGTAGTCGCCGCGACTACATGCTCAAGCATCGTTTTGAACCCCTGGAGGAGCTCCGGGGAGAATATAGGTGCCGATGACGACCCGGCGCCTAGGGCCGTCGCCGCCGTCAGAGGTGCGAGGGCGCTGGATACGCGCGGGTCGACCGCGTGGGTGGCGCGAGGGCGGCGCCAGCGTCGTCGGCGGCGTCCTTGTCGTGGTCGTCCTTGCTGCTGTCGGGCTCGTCGCCGCCCGTCACTGCCGCAGATCCACCGCTCTCCTGCGTGGCGGAGCCTGCACGTGCTTCGAGTTCGCGCGCCAGGCACGCAGCACCCTCAGGAGAGCTCCATGGCTGGCCTTCTGGCCCAAAGCATCCCACGAGGCTCTGCTACCAACTGTGGCAGCAGGATCGAGAGCACGAGGCGTTCGCAAGCTTGAGCCATCGTGCCCACAGTCCGTGCAATCTTTCTGCATGGCTGAAGCACAGCGCAACACACTGCACAGCGAAAGTATAACTCTCAAGCCAAACCTGTACAGGACTCACATCGGCCCAAACGAGGCGGGGTCGGACACCTCCCTTCCTGCAGGGGAGGACGAAGCCCGTGCTGGGTAATTCGGGGGCCGCGCCTGTAGTCTGCGGCCCACTGGAGCGCGCTCAGCTTGAAGTTGTCCCGCTCCGTGGCCACCGCAGGGTCCACGGACAGCATGAGTCTGAAGACCTGGAGAAGGAGACAGGCAGGGGAGGGCGATGAGGGGAGAACAGAGAGGAGGGGAAAGGACGGAACGGAGAAGGTGAAGAATGAGGAAGGATATAATGGACGGGGTGGGTATCGAGGAGGAGTGGATGGAGGGATGGGGGGCGCGAGAAGGAGAGTAGGGAACTCGTCGGGATCCTTGGGAGCTTGAGGGCGGAGGAGAGAAGAAACAGGAGGAGGGAAGATGGAGGCAAGAGAGAGGAGAAGCGGAGGGATGAAAAATTAGGATGGGGGGAGGATAAAGAAGCACCGTGCGGAGGAACAGGGCGGAGGGAGGAGGGAGGGAAGAGGTGGAGGTACAGGAGGAGGAGGAAGAGGAGGAGGAGGAGGAAAAAGAGGAACATGTCGGTGCTGATGTTACTTCAACGAAATAACTGGCATTCAGAACTTCTGAATCAGAAGTCTCCAAGTGTCACGAGGGGGCCACGGAGGACAGCGCGAATCTGCACCAGGAAGCTGGACAACAACTCGATGCATGGCCGAATCCACGTGTGGAGCATCCAGACGAGCCACTCGCTGGAGCAACACTCGCAGGCCACGAGCTGGATGTACAACGAGGAGCCCCGCCCCACGCCACGACAGGACGGCGGAGCGCTGACATCTGGCCACGGGCATCCGGCCTTCGCTCTGGCCGGCCGCGTCATGAGTACAGTAGGGGTCCGACCACAAGAAACCTTCCACGAGAAACCCAACCCTGAGACCCCAGGGCATCCATCGATGTTTGGTGTGGAACATCACGCTTTCCATAGCAAAAACGTCGAAGCCCAAGAAACCCAGGGCACCCTGCAGGCAAGCAAGGTGTTTCTTGGCATTGGTCTCCACTGTACGCTACAACATAACGGCCCACGAACACCCGGCCTTCGCTCAGGCCGGCCGCGTCATGAGCATCCAGCTTCCTGGCAGCGGGTAAAACAAGGCCTGGGCGAAATCGAATGTTATGATGAGGAAAATCCTGGCGGCCTCGCGCGGCAACTTGAGATCCGATTAACGTCGGATCCACTGCGGGTTTACGTCGGGTTCACGTCGGACTACGTCGGAATTACGTCGGAATCACGTCGGAATCACGTGGGACTGACCCTGGAGCATCGCCGCGCGAGCGTCGATCCATAGCTTACGGAGCTGACGTGTGGACTAGATAATACTACCATTACGAGCCGCGCGAGGCCTCCAGGCTTTTCCTCATAACGAATGCGTTGCTCAGGGGGTTCCCGAAGTTTCTGGGAAGGCCGAGGAGCAATTCGCAAACACAACCCGAAATCACGATCGGAGCCGGGATTTCCGAGGTTATCTCGGCGCTTCCTGCTTCGGCCCCGAGGAAGATAACATACACCCCTGCGTAGATGTAAGAAGGCTTCAGGCTAAGAGAATGGACTCCACTCGAAGCGTCGTCGTAAGCAGCAGTCCAGGTCCAGATGCACGAGCTGTCTACGAAGAGAAGATCTAAGGAAACGCCGAGGGCCCAGCTCAGATCCGTGGAGTGCCTTAAGACGAAACCTGGGGCCCACGACAGCTGATCCCTTTTCCTGCGATGTCCGACGGGTGTATCGGGGGAGAACGAAAAGGGGGAATAGCACAGGGCAGGGTCGAGAATCAGCTCACGCAGCTGATGTTCCCGGCGCCTCCCGGCGCCGGGAGGCGCCCGCGCATCGAGGAATGTGCCCGGCGGCGGGGCCGAAGCCAGCTGCATGCAGCAGATTCAAGAACTGACACCCCCTTTCCCGATCCCCGCCTTTGGTTCGGCCCGAGTGCAGCAGCGTCGCGCCCATCATCGAAAGCCCCCCCCACTGTGGGAGTTGGAATGCCAAGACACCCGATCAACGTGGAGCAAACCATCACGACGCCATGGCACATCACTGCCAGACCTCGCAGAAGCGGCGCCGATCCGCCGAGGCCAACAGGAGGGCACCGCAGACGCAGCGAGCAGACCCGTCGCGACTTCCCGACGGCGCCCCGACACCAGTCTGGAGAGCTCCGGCGACCCCGCCGGCGTGACGCTATTATCGCATCATGTTTGGCGATCGGAGGACCCCGATGGGTCCGCACCAAAGGTCGCTCCGGCGAAGGGTCAGTCTTACGTGTAGTCGATGTGTGAGATGCGTGAGAGGGGGAGAATGGTCGTGGGTTGGTGGTCCAGTGGCGGTGACGCGCGCGAAAGCTTTCTCCCCCCGGTCCCTGCGTCCTCCCAGGTCCCTCCAAGCTCGCCAGCCCGAGGCGAGCCGGCCCGAGGCCGCAAGCATCAGGTCGGGCATGTCGCCCTACCGGCTGATTTTGAAGGACAAATGACATATATATATATATATGACACACACCCAAAAAATACTAAAAAAATCGTCCCCAGAGTATTGTTTGGGTTATCTTTGAGCCTTCCTCCGGCAGAGGGCCAGGCCCGCCGAGCAGGCCAGTCGCTGGGAGGCCCCTCTCCTCGGGGCCCCCACGCCGCCATGGCGGCGCCCGGGCGGCGCCCCGCCGCCCCCCCCCCCCCCTCCTTTTCTCCCTGGAGGTGCGTGCGGCGGCCCCGATTCCAGTGTGGCCACCCCAGGGCCACGGGCAGGCCCAGACGGGCTCTTTGTTCGAGGCGCGTGCGCCACACACGTGGGGACGCTTCTCGAGCGGGGGGGTCAGGTTCTTCAGAGCACCCCAGACGGGCGTCAAGGAGCGCAATCAGCCTGTTCGGTCAGGCTGCAACCGCTGCACCACGCCCTGCGTCGAGTCACACAACCTTGGACGTGAGCGAACGGTGGGACTCTGCACACCGTCGTCGGCTCCACCGAGAAGAGGAATGACGAGTCTCATTGCCAGAGCCGACGGCTCAAGGGAGGGGTCCTGGTCCCAGATCCTTCCAAGATGCGCCCGACACACCCCTCTCGAGGCAGACCGCGGCCCTCTTGGGGGTTCTCGCCGGCCCCGGGGGCCAGCACGCGAGGCCAGAAATGGCTGAATTCATTTCTGGTTTTCTTGTGATCCTCACATTCTCGCTGCACTGGTCGGAAGAACGTCAAAGACGGCGCCAGAGACCCCCGAGACCAGCCCAAGGCGGCCCCCAGGACGGCCTCAAGGCGGGCCCAAAGAGCGTACCCACTGGGGCACCGCTGGAAGCCACCGCTCCAACACGACCTCGAGCCCCCCCAGAGGCTCACAGGCTGCCTCACGAAGCCACATGACGCACTCAAGTGGACCAGAAGGGGCCCATCCAGTGGGCTAAAAAGGACCCCCAACAACAATCCCCCGAAATGTCCCCGATACCTCCTGAAGGACAACCTGGGCGCAGCAAAGAACACCACCCGCTTGTCGCTTCAAAAACCGCCGCTGACCCTTGCCCTCGCCACCTCCGTCGGGCTTCGCAACGCCTATCCCTACCCAGGGTGGGTACGCTGGGAGAGCCACCTCTTGGGGGGGACGAAGGAGCGCCACCACAGAACACCACCCGCTTTTCGCTTTCAAAAACCGCCGCTTGCTCTTGCCCTCGCCACCTCTGTCGGGCTTCGCGACGCCTACCCCTGGCCAGGGTGGGTACGCCGGGAGAGCCATCTCTTGGGGGGAGAAAGGAGCGCGACCGCAGAACTTCACCCGACTCGGAGAACCTCGACCGCTGAGCGCATCAGAAGGTCGCCAGGCAAACCAGGAACACTACAATCGGGTCGGGCGAAAGGGGGGGATAGCAAAGGGGGGGGGTGAGAATCAGCTCACGTAGCTGATTTTCCCGGCGCCTCCCGGCGCCGGAGGCGGCTATGCATCGAGGACTGGGCCCCTCGGTGAGGCCGAAACCAGCTGCACGCAGCAAATTTCATACCCCCCCCTTTCCCAATCCCCCCCTTTCGTCCGGCCCGATACAAGAGCCGACCAACTCGTGCAAAAGGACTGCGGCCGGAGAGAGGGGCCAGCGTGCTGCATGCGTGCAGACGGGGAGGAGCGAGGAGGCGAGAACGCTGGGAGAACCACCTGCTCTGAGGACCGATGACCCACGGCCCTGCCAGCGGCCCCCCGACACCTCCCAGGCCCCGCTTCCGCGCCGCGTCGGCCGTGGCAGCGAGGAGGGCCGCCGAGGGCCCGCGAGACGCAGGGCGAGGGAGGGTCCCAGGACTTTGCTTCGCTCTGCCTCGCGGGGCCCAGCTTCAGAGCCACCTTATATACCCTGCCCTATGGAGTGGCAGGAACGATGCTGACGATGATGAGCCAACACCTTGCCGCCGAAATTCGTCTCAAAAACGGCCGCCCGACCCCTCCCGGGCACCGCCCCGACCCGTCTTCCCCGAGCCGCGCCCGCCGTGGCAGTGAGAGGGTCGCCGACGGCCAGCAGAACGCCTGCGCCGGGAGGGCACAACGAGTTGTTGTTCCTGCTTGTTCTTTTGCGCCAGGCGGCCAACGGGGCGACTGCGTCTCCCCGCGCGTGCCCGCGAGACCGCGGTCAAACGAATCACAAAGAGGAGGAGGAGGAGGAGGCGGCAGAGGGGAGGGGGGGGAGCAAAAGGAAAAGCAGGGAGCGGACAGCCAGCTCAGCCAGCCGTGGGGTCAAGACTCGGGAGAAGCATCACCTGTGGCGACTGATAACCCTTGGCGCTATGAGATCTCTAACCAGTCCGCCCGCAGCTGTACCCTAAGGGGCCTTAACATACGAAACAGGCGATCTGACGGCGGGAAAGATGGAAGCCACTCACAGCCTTCGCAGGAGCTCCTAAGATTCGAAACCTTCGGAGCCTGAACAAACATTGTCAACAGCATGTTGGTTGGAGTGTACCACAAACGGCTATGTATTGCACTGTGGAGGTGAAAACCATGCGGTGCAAGCTATGTGCTGTAAGTTGTGCAAAGTGAACTGACGGGGAACGCTGCACGGTGCAAGCTATGTGGTGTAAGCGATGCTGCATAAACTATGTGATGCAAGCTGAATGGTGTGAATTGTGTCGCGCAAGCTACAGGGTGCAAGCTACGTGATGTAAGCTCAGCGCACGGGGCGCCCAGGAGGC